TGATTCCCCACCCCCGCAATGACACAGCCTTTCTCTGACGTCATCAATCCGTTTGTGTTTCGTCAGGATTATTAAACGTCAACATCTTAACTGTGTGACAGTCTATAGGACTACGTGGCTCTCCCATGACTCACGTCTCCACGTTTCCGGAAGTAGGTGGGTTCACACGTCATATTAACCTGACTCATAGGACTACGTGGCTCTCCCATGACTCACGACTCCAGGTCTCCGGAAGTAGGAGACTTAGGATGATAAATATATCATTACAGCACTACCTGAGAGTAAACGTCCTTTACCAAGTACTACGATGCAAAAAATAAGATTATTTTTCAGAAAAATACTTTCAGACTGATATTCTATTTTTTGACCCCCATGCTGTAATAAGGTTAATTAATCATCTAAATATTTAGAAGAGTGATTCAAAGTAATAACATCGAATGTATAAACAAAATTTATGAGGGGACAGGCTCCTATGTAATTTTAACATAGCTGGAAATAGTCCCTTTATAAAAAAGCCTAAATATACCACAATCGCCAAAAATCATGATACCGGATAACACCCGGGTGAGAAATCGTGTCAGGGTGAGAAATCGTGTTGCGAACGTCGCAATTTTAGCACGATTTCTCAGTCGGTTGAGAAAATCGTGCCGGGGTGAGAAATCGTGCCGTCACAGCCCGACAAAGTTTGAGAATGAAAAATGACTTTAACCTACTTTCAAGGTCACAGCGGTCAAATATGTCAAACGCTTCAAACAACTTCTTCTGAAAAACTGAAAGGTAATATTTTCATATTTGGCTGGTGGCTTCCTAGGATAGGGCCTGACAAAGTTTGAGAGTGAAAATGACCCTTGATTTACTTTTAAGGCCACAGCGGCCAAATATGTCAAACTCTTTAAATTACTTCTTCTGAATAACAAACAGGCATAGAGCCCTGATATTTGACCGAATGCTTCGTTGGTAGGAGCCCAATACAGTTTCAGAACGAAAATTACCTTGACTTTCTTTCAAATTCACACCGGTCTAATATGTCAAACACTTCAAAAGACTTCTTCTGAAGAGCTGAAAGGTGTAGAATCTTCAAATGTGACTGATGGCTTCCTCGGATGGAGCCCGACAAAGTTTAAGAACGAAAACGACTTCTGCTGATAAACTAAAATGTATAGAATCTTCATATTTAGTTGGTTGCTTCCTGGGAAAGAGACCGACAAAGTTTCAGAATGAAAATGACCTTGACCTACGTTCAAGGTCTCAGGGGTCAAATGTGTCAAACCCTTCAAACGACTTCTTCTGAAATCTGAAAGGTACAGACTCTTAATATTTGGCTGGTTAATTCTTTTGATAAAGCCCGACAAAGTTTGAGAATGAAAATGACTTTGACTTACTTTCAAGATATCAGGGGTAAAATGTGTCAAATTTCAAACGACTTCTTCTAAAGAACTGAAATGTATATAATCTTCATATTTCGCTGGTCTCATCCTAGGATAGAGCCCGACAAAGTTTTAAAATGAAAATGACGTTGACCTACTTACAGTGGTCAAATATGTCAAAACAACTTCTGAAGAAGAAAGCATAGAATCATACAATAATATTTGGCTGGTAGTTTCAACAGATGGAGCCGACAGAGTTTGCGAGTGAAATATTTGTAGTACAAGATAATATTTAATGAGAATATTTTGCTGTGACTGCTTAAATATTCAGGTGAGCGATGCAGGCCCTCGGGCCTCTTGTTACTGTTGCGCGACCGCGAGATTCTTTTGATGTACATCAAAGTATCGAACTAGTCTTCTGTGTCATCAACAAGGTGGCGCACACTGAGCCTTCAAATTTGCTATGACATATTCCAGGTATACAGAGAGAGTAAGTGAGAGTTACCCTCTGGATATCGAGGATGTGCCGATGACCAGGTAGCTCATTCGTTTAACAATATGAAATCCAGGGTTCCAATCAAGGTCTAATCCCGCTGAAATTTTTACAATCACAACACCATTTTTGATGATTTTTATGTTTACTTCCTCTACTAAAACATGGGTCAGAGGCCCAGAGTAATGGTATAATTGGCCATTAGGCACCTGGGACAGAGTGCTATAAAGTTTCCTCAAATAAATTACCTCGACCAACTGTCATGGTCACAGGGTTCAACTATGTAAATTTCTTTAAACAACTTCTCCTGCAATACCAGGAGACCCTGGGTGATGATACTTGACCAGCAGCATGCTAGGATAGAGCAATATAAAGTTTCATTTAGTCTGGAACATATGGAAATATTTGCAAAAGTATTTTATTGAGAATACTTTCCCATGATTGCACAAATATCAAGATGAGCTATACAGGCCCTCTGGACCTCTTTTTTTTCCTGTGATCTGATATTTTATTGTAAACCACATTCTCAAAATTATGTGTTCCTAAGTGCAACCATGTATTTTAAACACATATTTTCGAACAGTAAAAAATGATTTACCACTTAGAGTTTCAAAACACGAGGACAAAATTGTAAGTATGGGCTGTCTTTTAAATGCTTTGGACAGCAAAAAAAAAATGCGATGTTAAAACTTTCTTTTGTACTTGACGGGAGATTATCAGTTTACCTAGGGCTGATTTCAAATAATCATGAGGATTTCTATGTGGATTGAAGCTTGCGGTACTCATGATGGGGTGTACAGAAAGACCCGTTTTGAAATTAATTTTACAACTTTCGTCGTAAACCTTTCTATGAGAGAACCGAGTTGGAGTGCAGTCTTGTACTCGTGTATGTTATATGTATATTGTCCAGGTCCTGTTTGTGTTTCTGTATTAGCTTGCTGTTATCCTCCTCCGCTTTCTGATACAATGAGAGTGTGTTAGCTGTTAGCCTTTCCGAGTCTTGTTTCAGTTTATTTGATTGCATTTTTAGCTGGTGTGAAAGAATATCAAATTTTGTCGTGCCTCCATGTGTGTTGTGTATACGTGCATGTGTGTATGTTTGCTGGAGGTAGGGTATGTTGGTGTAATTTCCTCCTTGTGATAGCGCATATCTGATACCGCGTTTAAAGTGCTATCTCACTGAAATACCATGCCGATGGCACCATGCACAGGACTACGCTCGGTCACATTACACTGACAACGGGTGAACCAGTTGTTGCCGTTACCCTAGATGCTGAACGTTAAGCAGGGAGTAGCAACTGCTATTGTTAAGGTCTTTTGTATGTCCCGACCTGAGGACAGAACCAATTGCCGTGCTCACCTGGGCGAACGCTTACCACTAAAACCAAAAGTGAGGTGTTGCCAAGCACGGCGTCAGATAATAGAAGGTAGTTAGAAGAAGAGAGAAATATTAAGATCCCAAGTACTACAAGGGGTGCAGCAGATTTGTATTTGTCGCGTTTGTGACCCCAAATAGAGGACACCAGAGCAAATCTCTAATTCTGCAGGTGTTCCACATAAGTCGCCTCTTACGATACATGCAGCAGGTGTATTTTTTCTCGATCACCGACCTGCAGGGATACATCAAGGATGAAGTTGTGACTAAAATACACATTGAAATGATAACGACTGATACAGGAAGATCTTCATGTTATGGATCACATATGGCGCTTCTTATGCTTTTTATGGAGGATTTCCTCAACGATCTAAGAACAAAATATTAAATGTGACACACACCGATAAGGGTGAAGCCGTTTGTATATCTCTGGCGCTTAGAAATATTATAGAATGTTCGACAATTCAAGATAAAGGGTAAACACATGTTTTGCTTATGTAGGTCCAAATTCGGATTTAATTGATTTTGTGAATTTTAATGTTGAAATAACTTTATCTTAGCTTTATTTCCAGATTAACTAAATATAAAATGTAAAATACCCTTTGGCTTAAAATTAAAATATTGACACTCTTGAACTAGCATATCTGGCGTACACATGTCCTGACTTAAAACTACCTTATCAGAAGTCACGAGTCTTGTGGCCATGAACAATACCAACAGTGCTGATAACGGCCAGAATTGACATATATTGAGATAACGGCCAGAATTGACATATATTGAGATATTTAAAATTCCCATACAATAGTTGGATACCTTTGATTTTAGAGGATTTTTTATTTAACATTATCAAGGTCAGTATTCAAGTTTTTCAATATCGAATCACACGATCGAAAATGCTCATACCATAAAAGGATATGTATAGCATAACATGAATATTTCGCAATTTTGCATTATGCTAGGTTACACAACATTGTTTGTGTCAATGGCCCATATAAGGTATACATAACGTACCTATAAGAGTCGAACCACATCTAAATAGTTAAGGAAAAGTATTCTCACTAAGTAATATTGAAACATATTCTCGGTTTGGGCTCAGCAAACACCCTTGTGTTAGAAACTTCACAGTAAATTTGTTCGAGATTCATATTTTTGTGAATATTGGGATGAGTTTTAATTCGTTTTAATGTTATGACCTTTGGACTAAGAAGCCAAGGATGGGGCCAGATCCCGTGTCTAATTCAGGTCGCATGATACTGTTCGTCCCCCCATACCTAGCATGTTGAAGGGTAGAGAATTAAAATATCACGAAGCCTCAACATTCGCTCAAGTTCGTTTATGCGAAAACACTTCTACAACAGTCTATTCCATTGATATCACCATTTTCGGTCCTATTCGTCTTAAAAATAAAAATAAATGTTTTAACATACGAATACCGTGTTACGCAGTGTCATAAAGCCATCGCATACATTATGTTTATGTAACGTGTGTAATATCTGTCACAATCGAATAGGAACCATCAATGTGACGTCACGTCATTGTGAAGCGGACGCAATTTTCATCGTTTCAGAGGCGGCCAAGTGCAAAATATTCGTTTCAGATCACAATTATACAGTTTATTTTGTATTATATGATGAAAAGAACATGTTATTCGTTTCCCTTCATATTAGCTTTATGATACTCGTTTTGGATTTTTCATATTTGCTCGCCTATTTGTACATTATTGTATCATTAATCTAATATGAAGGGAAACTTATGACAGATACACTTTTTAATCATTATCTATTGACATTTGACCCCCACCATTGTTCAAAGATGACTTTTGATGTATAGTTATAACACACCTAAATGTGCTGGCCTTTAAAATCGTGCTTCTAAAAATAGTGTTTTTTGATCGTGTGACCTAATTGATGAGGAAGTGTCTTCTGGCAAAATATCAACAATGGCGTCATAAAAGGTAAGAAAAAAATCAAATAAGAAGAGGGTTTTTACTCTTTATAGCCCATGTTTACATATGACCAGCGCTCAAAGTTGATAATTGAAATTCAACAACATGTGATAAAACAAGATTTGCACTACTAACATACATATCATACCAAAATAGTATGGCTTTACGACTTATGGTTTTTAGAGGATGTTGTTTGAAATGTTAATACTTTTTACCCATATAAGGAACTTGTTAGCACTCTGTCGAGGGTTCCTATTAGCGAGATGTCATGACTCATGGCATTTGCTTCTCAACAGTCATTTAAATGAAAATAGTTTACAGACGGTACTCGATACAATCAGTTCAAAGACACTTCATGTCAGTGAGGCTTAAAATAGAACAAAGATAAGGAACTTACGTACATTCCTCTCACCTGCCCGACCACGTGGGTGTATCGTTACATTATCTTCGAAATGTTAACTAAATTATAGTAACATTTATTATAAAGCTTTCATTGGTATGTTATTTATTACAATGAATCGTGGAGATTTTTTCTGTAATAAAGCTTTCATTCTCTGCACTCCAGGAATATGTCGTAACAAGCTTGATGGCATGGTGTTTGCTATTTGATTAGTTTCAGGTTTAAAAAAAATACCAATCGCTAGGCTAACTCATGTTCTTTGACGATTACAGAGCAACGACACACGAATCTAAAGCTTGTCAGTGTTACCGTTATAATGCTGTGCGAGTTTTTTTGTATGTACATCAACTGATCAAACTTGTCTACTTGTATCAACTCTAAGGTGGCGCTTATAGATACTTCGATTTTGTCATGAAATAGTCCAGGGGGTGCTGAGAACATGAGTGAGTGTAATCCAAGGATTGTCGAGGATAAGTAAAACCTCGTTACACTGGCATTGCCCTAGCGATGTAACCGGAATAAATCGAGGAACTAACATACAGGAATATATAAACGAGGGGCATTATATCAAGGTTTTACTGTATATAAACGAGGGGCATTATATCAAGGTTTTACTGTATATATAAACAAGGGGCATTATATCAAGGTTTTACTGTATATAAACGAGGGGCGTTATATCAAGGTTTTACTGTATAGAAACGAGGGGCATTATATCAAGGTTTTACTGTATATAAACGAGGGGCATTATATCAAGGTTTTACTGTATATATAAACGAGGGGCATTATATCAAGGTTTTACTGTATATAAACGAGGGGCGTTATATCAAGGTTTTACTGTATATA